CAGATGAAAATTTAAGAGTTGTAACGTTGATGATGCTTCGTTCGTCTGTGAAAACATAGGGTCCGGTCGCTGTGCACTCCCCCGTATCTCCGGGCTTTGTATTCTCTCTTATTGGGCTTATAAGGATCTTTTTTTCACGACAATTTTGAAGCAGGTCCTAGGGTGTATTATTTTTCACGGCCTTCAGGGAGATATGGGGTAATGCTTTACGGGGGTCTGGGCTTTCGCCCTAGGGCTTTGGACGTTGGGGCCTTTTGGGTGTGTGTAAGGTTTTGGGGCTTCGGGGTTAGAAAGCCACCGTAAATCCCTAAACCCCAAACCCTAAACCTTAAACCCTAAACCCTATACCGATACCCTTAACCTTAAATCCTACACCTGAAACTCTAAACCCTAGGCCCGATACCCTAAACCTTAAAACCTAAACCCGAATCCCTAAACACCCAAAAACCTCAAACTCTAAACCCGGTCCTGTAAACCCTAAACCCGAAACCTCATTAGCCCTAAACCCTTAACCTCAAACCCTCACCCCGATACATCATGGCAGTTGCAGGCAGGAGGCGACTCTAGCAGTGTGCAAGATCAGCTTCTTCGCTCAACCTGTAAGCTTTTTGGGCATTGTGATGCGGGGTTTAGGGGTATAGGGTGTAGGACACTGAAAATTGAACCTGTCATTTCTGTGACTTCTTGGGCAACCAAGGCTTCATGATGTGAAGTGCATCCAATCTACAAACACGGCCTTTGCCGCCCTCAGAGCTGACGGGACTGTGGTCTGTTGGGGCGATGCCTACTCTGGTGCTGACAGCAAGGCCGTCCAAGACCCTTGTCTTTTGTGTGCTTTCTACAGATAAAGCACGATGTCCTCAACTCTGAACCCTAAACCATTCAAAAACAAAGATTCGGGGTTCTTGGTTTTTACTCTGGGAAGGCTCCTTCCTGAACTCTGAGCTGCAAGGAGACCTCAAACCTTCTTGAACCCCTAACGAAAAACCCTGACTTCTAAGCCCTATAAACCCAAAACCTTCTCCCTGAAACCCTGAACCTCTATTTGCTACGCCCTATAAACCCGAAACCTTCTACCTGAAACCTGAACTCCAAACCTTACAAACCCTAACTTCTAAATTCTAAGCCCTATAAACCCGAAACCTTCTACCTGAAACCCTGAACTCCAAACCTTACAAACCCTAACTTCTAAGCCCTATAAACCCGAAACCTTCTCCCTGAGACCCTAAACCCCTATTTTCTAAGCCCTATATACCCGAGACCTTCTACCTGAAACCCTGAACTCTAACTTCTAAGTCCTATAAACCCAAAACCTTCTGCTTGAAAACCTGAACTCTAACTTCTACGCCCTATAAACCCAGAACCTTCTACCTGAAACCCTAAACTCCGAGGAGAAGCTCCACGATGTGGTTCAGATCCAGGCCTCGGTTCGTGCCTTCACCGCCTTGCGCTCGGATGGATGTGCGATTTCATGGGGGAACGTGGATGGCGAGACCCGGCGCAGTCCATGGGGTTGAAGATCTTCAGGTAAGTAGGGCCTTGTTATTGCTATTATTATTATTATTGTTGTCGTCAATTTTTATTGTTGTGATTATTAGCCTTCTTATTGTGGTTATTATTTGTCTTGTTATGTTTTTTTTCGTTTTTTTATTTTTGGTATGATCATTATGGTTGCTACTGTAATTATGAAAGTTGTTCATGATATTATGATTAGTGTTATGAAGCTGAGGTATGTATTGACAGTTTTCGTGCTATGATGATGATGGTGATGATGATGATGATGTTTGTTACTGTTGATTATAAATAATATTCGAGGCTTCGATAGCGTAGCAGGACGTGCAGGTTTGCCCGGGACCAGATGCTAGCCTAAGGGCTCACGGCGAGTTTCCAACCGGAACCCTAAACCCTACCTTAACCGTTTCTTTTCACCGCAATACCAAAGAGAATCCTACAGCCGAGAGCTGCAACTCTATAAACTATAAAACCACACAAGACCTTAGATGAGTCCTGAACTGCACAAACCCTAAAACTTGAATCATCTAATCCCTAAGCCCTAGAAGCCCTGTAATTAGACCCTAACCCTAAGGGTCCAAGTACCCAAAAGGCATATACTCTCTTAAACACTAACCTACGGACCTACAAAACTACTATCCCGTAAACCAAGCACCGAATTCGTTAGGTCCCTTGGACCCTTAAGGGTAAAGGGAGACCTTCTTGGCGGAGTGAAAGGGGCCATTACACTTTTTTTTTAAAAAAAGGGAGACCAAGGAGATCCTATAGCCTAAACCCTAAACAGGCTAAAGGGAGACCAAGGAGATCCTAAACCCTAAACCCTAAAAAGGCTAAAGGGAGACCAAGGAGATCCAGAAGGTCGAGAGCATCCAAGCGTCTTCCGGGGCCTTTGCGGCGATCTTGACGGATGGTTCCGTGGCGATCTGGGGCGATCCGGACTCGCCGTGGGAAGTTGACGGCTTTTAGTGTCCCTAAACCCTAAACCCTTAAGGGATGTTAAGGGTGCATCTTGACATAAAAAAATTGAAGGCTGAGGCTCTGGGAGTGTATGTATTGCCTGTTGCTGGGGCATCCCGACAGCTTTTGACCAGAAAATAAGGGGGGTTTTGTAACATGCATCGTAAGGAGATGTTCGCCTGTATGAGGGTTCCTTGCTGTCTGAAGCCATACGGCATCCTCAATCTTCGAGAGTTAGTTCTCCCTAAAGGCGGCTTTTCCTTATGATCGAAGCTACCTCGCAGTGGTCATCCTTGAATTGCTCCGCATCTCTACTAAACGCTGCGCCCCATAAAGCCGAAGCCCAACATCAGCTCGGCTGTAAATCCTGGGACCTGGTGTGGGCTGCGGTGTAGGGTTTGCCAGGACCCCTGCCAAAGTACACTCTTTCGGGGTCTTGCCCGAAAATCCGGCTTCGGCAAAAAGATGTGGGTGTAGATCGTATCGGTTGATGCAACCGAGTATGTATGGGGCCTCGCCGCTCCATGTGGTAATCATAAGCACTAAACCCTAAACCCTGGGGTCCCTGTTCCTTGGAGGACTCTGGCGCTTACATCAATGATGAGGTGAAGCAGCAGCTCCAAAACGTGAAGGAGCGAGCTTTTGGCTCAGCGTATAAGGTTCGCAGAGGTTCCCAATGTGTGTGTGTGTGTGTATATATATATACAATATATAGACACAGACTACCATTGTGGAATTAAAATTAGGCCCCCCAAAAGCCATCCTTGTTATGATTATAGTTTATATGGACCCTCTTGGGTTTAGGTTTTCTAAGCTCCTATGAACTTCGATGATAGAGACGAGGAGTGTTGCTGGAAGGCCGTAAACCCTAAGTCCTAAGTCCTCCCTAGGTCCGGAGTCCCAAACCCAAGGCCCCCGAGCCCCCTAGTAAGCTTGTTCTGACACTTGACAAGATCCGTATTTTAGCCCTCCTAGTCCCTTTACCGTAAATCTCTGAACCCTGCTAAAGCTATAGAGCCCGTAGAAAGCCCCCAGTAGTATCCGAGAAGAACCCTTCGAGGAGATCCATGCCACTGAGAATGCGTTTGCAGCACTCAAGGCTGACGGCTCTGTGGTAGCTGGGCTGTTGAGGGTTTAGGGGTTTGGGTTTTAGGGTTTGGGTGAAGGGATTGGGTTTAGGGTTTAGGGGTTTGGGGCTTAGGGTTTGAGTAAAGGGATTGGGTTTAGGGTTTAGGGGTTTAGTGTTTAGGGCTTCGTTAAGGGATTGGGTTTGGGTTGATTTAGGATACTGATTTAAGCTTGAGTGCTTAGAGTTTGATGAAGGGATTGGTTTAAGGGTGGTTTCGCGCTTTGGGTTGCCATAAGGCTAAGGATTTAGCGGTTCAGGCTTTTGGGTTTAGGGCTTCGCGCTGTGGGTTATTGTGGTGGCTTGAGTTGAGGGTTAAAGCCGGATGGCTCAGGTGCTATCTGTTTGTGATTTCGTAGTGCTTGGATTCTTTTGGGGGGCAGGGTGCAGGGTGAAATCTGGTTGATTGTAAACCATATAATCTAAGCCCTAAGCTTTAAAACCTATGAACTCTGACCCCTACACCCTTACCCGAGTGAATAAGGTTTGAAGGAGCCTTGATGTAGTGCGCCGCTGGGTCGGCGTGCAGGCTCCAAACAGCCCGAAACATCAACCCCGTAGCGAGGCCCTGCTCTAAATCAATGCTAAACCCTAATTCACGGAATCGGGGCCCTCAGCCCTAAACCCCTAAACCCAGGGACTTGGCGCCATCAGCCTTTGAATACAACTAGAAAGGAGCACTAGGACTCGAATCTTCGGCTCTTCGGGGTTTGGGGCTTGAGGGTTTACCTCGTCCTCTGTCGGAGCAACTTGGAGATGTCTGATTTGTTTTTTGGCCGTCTATGGTTTGTCATAAATCCAAGAGCCTTCGATCCGAAACCCTGCAGTGGGCCTCATAGTTGTTTACCCGTTCTTTTTCATTGGGCTTTCTTTTCCAAAAAATTGTACGGCTTGTATTTATTTTTCTTAGTGTTGATGGCTAAACTCATTGACTTATAACTCGTTCGACAGCCTTCGGCTTCTTTTGGTGTCATGCCGGCGGCGAAATGTTTCAAAACATGTATCTTCTAAGTCAGCAATATTTCAATTTTTGTAATTTATCAACACAATATATTTTCCTTATATTTCTTGTTATCTGCTTCAATTCTCCTCTTTAACAAATCCTTAAATGCCTGTATTGCCTTTTCGCTGAAGTTGGGGTGTATGTTTTGCTCCTTCTACATCTACATAACATACATATATATATATATGATATTTATATTCATTTATTTACATATATATATATAAGCACACTTAAGTACACAGCTTCAGCGGGTTCTTCCTTGCGTGTATAAATGTCCCTATGATGCCGATACCTGCAGCTGTGTTGGTGAGGTCTCACATTCCGTGTTGTCTTGGGCACCAAAGGAGTCTTCTAACCGTGAGCTTTAAATGGGCAGCTAAACCCAAACTGGTCCACATTCTTGAAATCCTACCAAACACTGTGTTCACTGTACATCCTACCTACGGCCAATCCTTCACCTTGGTATTACCCTAAACACCCGCGACTAGGCAAAAACCCTTAAATAGAACCGGAACCTAAGCCCTTCAGCCCCAAAACTTTGAGCCCTCAAGCTCTGAGCCACGACCTCAACCCCAAGCCTCGCACCGCAAGGCCTTACTCACCGCAAAGTGTCACCCTTAAGCACCGGCCCCCTTCCAGTACTTCCGAAGCACCTGCAGCCAAGGTGAGTTGGGGTGACAGTTCCCATGGAGGCAGTGCTTAGGGTTAAAAGGGCTAGGGATTTAGGGTTTAGGGCCTTTTAGGGCCTTTTAGGGGTTTAGGGGTTTTAGGGTTTAGGGTTTAGGGTTAAAAGGGCTAGGGAAGTAAACCGTAAACCCTAAACCCAAGGGTTAGGGAAGAAGCAGGGCTTGGGGCTAATTGGCGTCATTTATGCAGTTTAACAGGGCTTGAGGCTCTTTCTTGGCTTGATAGGTTTTGATTGGCCTGTATCTACTACTTTGCCCTAAACCCTAAACCCCCCCTGGTAGTTTCAAGCAGGGTAGGTCTTAAGACTTAAGCCCAAAAAATTCCCTTTTCAACCTTTGGCCACCGAAAAAAACTCCAAACCTTAGCACCCAAAAAGTTCAAACAGCTTGTAGGCTTTGGCCCGAAAACCCGAACTCAAATACCTACTTGCCCTAGTTGCAGTCCTAAAAAGGTCCGTATACCTTTTCGGGCTTCCCTGTCTCAGTTCCTTGTAGATTAAGGTTTAGGAGGTATTATAGCAACCTACATAA